ACATGTAGACGAAGAATTCAACATCCAACTAGAACCAAACTTGCAGCAACAGGGACGTTTGTGCAACACAAACCAAAACTAACCCGACAAACACCCTCTCATGTTTCTCATGAATGTGAAATGGAAGTTAGATCATCAACGTGAGGATCAGTGTAGCAGAGACAGACAGGCTGCAGCATGCAGCTATGACTGAATATGACTCACAGCGCAGTAATCTGACTGCTGAACCTGAGCCAGACTACTCACATACCCCACACACACACAGGCAGGCGCACACACACACACACACACACACACACACACACACACACACACAAGATTTGAACAGCTCGGGTGCTCCCAACGGTAGAGGGACCGAAACTTGGAAAGTGACAACAGCAGTTTCTACATTAACTCCCCTCTGCTCTGTTACTGCAGTGACACACAGCAGATGTGAGATCATTCATTTACATGTTACTGCTACTGAGCTCACTTGCTGTGCAGTATCACCCTGTTTATTTGTGGAAGAGAAGAGAAAACATCATCAGTAATAGCATCAGCATCAATAGTATCAGTAATATTTATATTTGAAGAAATTTCTGTTCGAGAAATTAAGAAACTGCTACATTTTTTCCCCCTTAGCTGAAACAGGTTATGTTTTCACCAATACAGTATCTGTTTGTTTGTTTGTTTATTTGTCAGCAGGATTACGCAAAAAGTGCTGAACTGATTTGCATCTAAACTTGGTGGTAGGATGGGGCATGGGCCCGGGAGGGACCTACTTAATTTTGGTGTGGATCTTGTGAAAGGGGCAGATCCAGGAACATTGCGAAATACGGCATTTTTCAACACTGTTGTTAATTTCTCAGGAAATAATGTTTGGATCTTGATGTATAAACCAGACATATTTATGGGGTTGAGATCTTGGGTCTGAGATCTTGAGTCTGTTCAGTTTGGTGCAGATCCAGATAATAATCTGGAGCAGACAGACTTGTGTAGGACTGTTTGGCGTTGGCAGAGGTATGTGCTCTACTGAGTGCCATTCTAGTTATAATCTGTGTACTCTGTATTTCAGATATGAATTTCACCGTTTCCAGTGGCAACTGTCTATGCTGCACTTTGCTCTTTCAGTGATTTTGATATATCTCATAGTGGCCTAAACATGAGTGGTCAGTTTTCCCATTGGGACAATGTCTTCATTATTCCATTAAAATGTAAAAACTTCACTAACAGGTGTTTCAGGAATTTCAAACAACAGTTAAACATTAAGTCATTTCTAGAGCCCGACCAATATTGGATTTTTGGGGCTGATGCCGATACTGATATTAGGGAGTAAAAAAATTCCGATATTGATATATTGGCCGACATATGTATATATATATATATATATATATATATATATATACACACACACACTTGTGGAAAAGCATATGTTTAAGAAGCAGGATATTTTCATTTGAACAATAAACTTTATTGTTTAAAATTACATCATTGCACTGAAATGGTAAACTTCACTTGAAATTAAATAAAATAATTTATAAATATAAATAACTATAAATAAAACATCTAAGAACAAGCATACACACATATATATATAATATATATATATATACTTATATATGTATGGAGTAATCTAATTATTATTGTTTATTCATTATCAACAATGAGCTAATGGACACATGAATTTCCCCTAGGGGATAAATAAAGTATCTATCTATCTATCAATAACATGTTGCCTATATAACTTGACTTGACCCGAGCATTTCCACTGCATTATTGCTTCTTAATAAAAGTATTCATATCAGCTCATATTGGAGAATATTTGTGCCGATACCGATATATCTGTGATAGGCAAATATCGGCCGACCAATAATTTAATTTATTTCCATCCAGGATAAAATAAAATGTCTGACCTAGCAGTTTCCCCAATCTCAGTTGTAATATTATTTTAGCAGTCTAACTAGCTACCTAACTGGTACAAAAGAAGGGTAATGTCAGAGAAAATAACTTCTGAGAAAAAAACAAAAAACTGCAAGTGTGTAAGCTGCTGAAACAGCTCTGTATGCTGCTATGCTGCTAACCTACAGCTGCACAGACAGACACTGACAGTGTACAGGGCTCAAGTCATTTCTAACAGCCCTGCCTGACCTGTAAATTTTGGCATACTGTTTTTTTTCTTAAAAGAGCAGAAAAAGGAAAGACAGGAAGCTGAAAATAGATCCAGCATGTACTGTGCTGACTAATGTGATGTCAACTGATAAAGCTCAGGTGTGAGACCTCGTGGCGCAACGGTAGCGCGTCTGACTCCAGATCAGAAGGTTGCGTGTTCAAATCACGTCGGGGTCAGTGTGTTTTGAGGTAAAAAGGAATACGAACATATACTAATGCATCTCATCAAACCTGTGCTTTCAGCTGTGTGAGGCACTCTACACAAGGATTATGTGTGGGAATGAAACTGATGACACGTGGCTCAAGTGGAATAGCGCTACACTTCCAGCTCTACCATCAAATTAACAGCGTACAAGGCCAACAGAATCAATTACTAGTAGATAAACAGCATGCTTTGGACAGTTTGAATACCACTGAATGATACCGCACTAATGGTTTGTTAGAGCTAAATAACTTCTAATAAATTCTTGTATGTAAACTTTAACTTTAAACTTTAATACTACTGAGATTCAAACAGTTGAACAAACTGTTACCACCTGACTCAAGGCTGGCAACTAAATGGGAAGTTGCACATAGGATTATAAAAAAAAATAGTGAAAAAAAAAAAAAAAAACACAGACAATTTCAGGTAAAAAGAAAATCAAATTAGGTTTTAAACACCTAATATTAAGAAGAAAGTCCTTTTTATTTATGAGATCTCCAAACCCAGTCGGCCAGCATCAGCCTGTGGAAACACCGCATCCAGTAGAATAAGAGCGATGTTGTTATGAAGGGGTTGAAATGATCGGGTCTGGTTAACTGTGCCTGCCCGTGTGTCTGTTGGTAGGTTAGTAAAACAACAGGGATGGAGGCAGTATCTGACGGAAAGAACTGGATGGACTGGATTTACTACTACAACTATATACAAATACAAAGAAGCAAACACCCACACACACTGGTACACACACACACACACACATGCACAGATGGCTGTTCCACTGGTGTAAACTTAGTTGTCCCAGCCCACATCCAGCTGAGCTGTGTACTCATATCATTTAGAGCAACTGTCAGCAGAGTTTTACTACAGTATGTCAGTCTTGTGACTTAGGTTGACTGATATTGTTAAGGGTTTGGCAGGAACTCAGCTGTAGACTAACCTTTAGAATATTACTTTACAAGTATACTAATGAGAAAATCATAGAAAATCAGCTGTTATTGCACCTTCAAAACAGGAAGGCTACATTTTATCATGGGAATTAAATTAAATATGGTCACCAGTGACACAGTAATGAGCCCCCACCACCACCAGGGGGAGCAGGTATCAGAGCAAATGAACATGGTGAAAATAAATACGTCAGGTAGTCTTTTTTATTTCACTATAATTGCCAAAGATAGAGTTAGTTCTTTCTTTCTTTCTTTCTTTCTTTCTTTCTGAAGGGGATTACAGGAGATGGATGAGGAGAGGAGACGGAGATGAGATCAGATAAGAGGGGAAAACAGAGGAGTGTTTCAGACAGCAGGTGCAAAACAGCTGCTCTAACCACTGATCCCACCTGAGGCGTAACCATGGCACCTACCATACAGATAAGGTGTGTGGATGCACATGCACACATACTCTTTCTCTCTCTCTCTGATACACACAGATTCTCATTCATGGACAAACCAGAGAGCATCTTCAATTTTCAGTCAGGCAGAAAAACTAAAAATCGATTGACATCTCACTGAAGCGCTCTAAATCTCAGATATCTGGTGTGGGAAATATACTATTCAATATGAAACAGCAGCACAAAAAGCTCCGTGTTCATCTTCAGATTTCACAAGACAGCAGTGGCAAGTACAAGAAATCAGGGATCATGAGAGTAACAAAACTCCTAACAGAGAAGAATCAAAGACAGCACTTTCATTTTAAGCCTAAATGTTTCATCACCACTTCATACATTATGATGATCCTGCTCGCTTTAAGCTTAGTTATCTGCGAAGTGATGAGAACACCAGATAAATTATCCATGTCATAACTACACCAGGAATCACAGCAGTGAGGAATAGTAAACCATTCAATTTTGATCAGTATCTATGTGCTGGTAATACTTTTAATTCTTTTTAATATATTTTAAGTTAGCAACCACGTGAATGCTAGCAAACAGTCCACCATCACCCACCATTCACCTCATTCAGCAATTAAAATGAGAACTGAGAACTGCTTCAAAATATCCATCCAATAATCATTTAAACCATTTCCCACTCACAGAGACACAAAGAGGGGGTATAGTTTACAACCTGGCCCAACATTAAAGCCAAAGAGCGAGTGACTCAGGTGTAGTCAGCACTGTTCCCATGGGGAGGATGGAGTGGGATTGTGGGTAATCATTCACAGCTGGTCTAGTGGGTACGCTATGGCATCATGCAGCGTCTGACACAGATTTTGCCCACACACTCTTATACTGGCAAATTTAGACATGCCCACACACACATTAACACACACACATCAAAGTGGGGCCTTGAATGTAACACAGCAGACTTCACTGCATCATTCAACCTTCAACAGATATGAAAGCTATGGAGAACTGCCAGCAGGTTGGAATGATTAAACAGAGAACATGGTGGTGTGCAGTGGTTTGCTGTTATATAATGTTTTAGTGATCATGAGATGGTAAAAGCAGACAGGTGTAATCATGAGCACATGTCAGTGAAAATCTTTGTTACTGCCAGCGTTTTATGCACAACGTGTCAGAGTTCAGACACCATCGAAGATATTTTTGCACAAGGAAAAAGTGAATAGAAATGAGAAGGGGTGTTCCAGCGTGGAAAACAAACAAATAAAATAAAACATGCTTTTTTTCTCTCTCTCTCATTACACACATGCCTGGACTCACCCTGTCTTTGTCATCCACCACGTCACACAACATGTCATCCAGGTCCAAAATGCCTCCATCTCCATGTTCCAACCTGTGGACCTGGACCCAGTAGCTAAGGTCCTGGAAAGAAAAAGAAAAAAGGGGGGGAGAGAGGATTAGCTCAGTAATGAGATTAGCTTTATTTGCACCATATAGACTTAGGATTTGTAGCCTTATGTAAGTAAAGCCATACAACATACATCATATTAGCTTTGCCAGGCCAAAGGAATTAGCAGCTTGTGTCTCCTTAGGAATCAGCTGATCCAATCACCATGAGGTTCAAACAGTGATCCAGTCAGCTGGCACGCAGAGGCTCTGACATGGTTATGGATTGACATCATGATAGCAGTTATGAAATATTTTAATCCCCTGCTGGTTGGCCTGCAAAATGAGCATATGGCTCAAACCTTTTTTTTTCTTGTGGAAGCTGAAGAGAGAATAGATGTGAAACATGCAAAGCCAGAGGTGCCATATTCATAAGTCTTACATATTATAGCAGGTGATAATGCTCCTCTGCCTTCCCCCAGTCAGTTAAAAAAAAACAAACAAAAACTGACCGCCTTTTTTGCATCAGCATATGAATATATCATCCATGCATACATAATGAATTGAGATATGTAGCACAGAGAAAGTCCAAGATCACCTCACTTTGCTTTTAGTTTATTACTCAAATTCCATGCAGTGTAATAAATCCAACATGACCTTTTTTTAATATTGCTTTATGATGAAATACTGCATGTTTATAATAGTTGGTGTTTTATCAGGATGAGAGACTTGGGCGCCACTCTTATTCTATGCCATATCAGAGAGCGTACACCATGTACTGTGCTTCATGGATTTAAGTGCAGTTAATATAAAATACTTGAGAAGTGGAAATGTGTAAATATATGTTCAGATGTGCAATAAAGACATACAGAATACTGCTTTTCACATTACTGCAGCAGCATCTTCACAGGGAAAACATGCCCAGGTAAAGTCTCATTAATATATTATACAGCCCTTTAAAGGCAGGAAGCAGTAAAGCTGGATAAAGAGTTTAAGTGACAGCGCAGAATTTTTAAAATCTCTCTTGAAGCAATACCGATGTGCCCATATGTATGTAAGAAAAGGTCTTAGTCACTGTATCTGATTCTACACCCCACTCCAGCCCTGAAGCTTTTTGACTTTGACTACACCATAAGAAATAGGAGACAAAATGCACAGCTCGCATTCTGTGCAAAAATGCTCCAAAAAAATACTCCAAAGTTCAGCTGAGGCTCATATTTGGTTTTAGCTGTCCAACCAAGCTTAATCGAGTCAGTATCTTTCCAGGTCACAGTCTATTTAATACAAATTCCCCTTGTTTTGTTTCCACAGAAAGAAGTTCTTTGCCAAATTATAATCATTTTTCTAGTATAGTACTATAATATAGTAAAACAGATGTAAAAAAAAAAAATAAAAAAAATAAAAGTCTTATTAAGGGCTTCACTGAATTTTAACTAAATATGTATTTTTGAGACTTGTCTTTTTACAAAACTTTAGTCTGAGGAGGAAACTCTTAAAGCTCCATATATAAAGGTGAGAGTGGGACATTTAGTAAATAATCTATATACCGTATATATACAGGATATTGTCAAAGATCCTATGGATGTTTGATATTCAGTAATATTCCTGCTTGCCTCCTGGGGCTCAGTACGGAGGCATGATGGCCCACTCAGACAGGAGAGCTAAGAGCAACCACTCAGCTCAAGGACTGTTCTTCCTCATTCACCATCTCAGCAAAGAATCTGCTCACTCTCTTGTCTCTATTTTGTTCTCACTTTATTTCCCTCTCTCTGTCTCTTTTCCTCCATGCCTCTTCCTCCACACTGAGCAGTTTTCGGGTCTGCGGTTAAATGCCTTCATGCACGGCTCTGTTGTACTGAACTCCATTGTGGTTCACCAAACAAAATGGTCCAAATCATGAGGGGAATGACTGTGTGGTATTTTTCTTCCCTCTGAGGTTATTAGGGGGGGGAAGAGGGCAAGTTTATTAGGGACGTTCACAAGAGACAAAACAAGAAAACGGAAGCAAAGAGAGAATTGTGTTGTTGTTAGTAGTTGTATTAATTTGGGCAACTGATAGAACAATGTAATATTGTCGTCAGAAAGAAATGAGTCAAAAGGATATAGAGAGTTGTGTGTGCAGTGTAATATGAATTCTCTTTGTGCTGGTCCACAATAAAGATCAGTGTATGGTTGATTGATTGGAAAACTGACTTTGAAAGCACTCCAACCTGAGAGAATTTATTTATTTATTTATTGATTTATTTATTTGCTAAAACTGCTGAATAATACCACCACAAAACGTACTTGAAACCCAGAGGAAGACAGTCACGGCATGAATTTACCATCTCTGGAAGTTATTACAAACCACATACTGACCCTCAGTATTAAACGGGGGGGGGGGGGGTTTAATTTTCAAACGTTGACACGCTCTGTCTGTTTGGCATCTTCAGTCAGATTTGTTGCTTAGATGGATTATGAGAAACAAATAAGATTCTGAGAGAAGCTCAGCCACAAAACTTAATCCTAGAAAATCATGAAAGGAATGGAAGGAAATTAACTGAGTTTGACAAATACTGTTTAGATATGACTTGGTTCAAATTATGTATTCGTCTTACATCAATGGCACTTTGCCTACTTTAAGCCAAAAGCAATACTTTGCAGTTCAAACACTCCTCTTTATGGGAGTAATAGCAGAGAATTCCCCACTGACTGGAAGTGGGATGGTTTTGTGTTTTGGGGATCGTCTCTGAATACCTCAGTGTAAATACTAAAGTGATAAACACACAGATTTGACTGAAGGTTTTTTTCCTGGTTGATACTTGTAGGTTTGAGTAAGACCTCCTAGGAAGATACAGCTGGTCCTGTTAGCAACTCAGCTCACAAAAACCCAAACAGTCAAATATCCTGATTATACTACTTCTTAGTAACGTCCATCTTTGTCTCCAATCCTGAAAACTCTTGCTACTGTTGATATAGTCGTGTCTTTTAACATTGTATTCATACAAATTCAAAATATATGTTCCCAGCTGTGGCTGATAATCTCATATGTTCTCAGCTTCACACAAGGATTTTCTTGAACTAAGTCATGTTGCCACAGAGATTTTGGAAGATGCTTCACAATCTGATTAATTGATAATGGCCTTTAGAACAATAACGTTAAACTTTAAATGATTAATACCTTATTCATGCTCGCTGACATGGAGTCTCTGAGTTAGGCAGTAGTTTAAGAGTGACCTTAAGTGTACACTTTCATCACTCGGAATGGGAAATTATAAGATTTTATTGATACCAAAGCCATTGTAGAATCTGCTTATCAGATTTTTTTTCTTTTTTATAAATTTCCCTTAATGGTTCCTGATCAGTTTTCTGTTTGATAAAAAGTAGGCCTACACAGGTTTTTGCCACACAGTCACACCTGACTAAGCTTTGGCTATACAAGGTAAACATAAGCCTAATGGTTATGTCTGTAGCTTTTTTCAGCTGCATCAGGCTCATTCAAAAAGTCTCCCTCAGATTTCCTTCTAGAAATGTTCAAACCTAAAATGCCATTATTCATACTAAGGCTTGGCTGAATATATGATGGTTATTATTTACTGAGAATTGTGCCGTCATATTGCCCAGTATGTTCAGCTAGTCAACATTTTAAATTCAATATATAAACAATAGTCAATGTCAAACCATCTTGCATTCGTCCAGATTTGTAACTAACCTTGACTGAGAGACTATTTAATCATTGTTTTGTTTGAAAATGATGTAGGCCATGTATTGTCTGGACTGGTCGCCATGGAGTTTGCAACTGGTATGCACGAGTTTAATTTGCGCGTGCACCGCGACGCGCTTATCTTTTCTGAGCTGCAGTTTATAAACACTGTTGCCTGTTGGCGTTTAACAAACACGATAACTATTTGTATTTATCCCTAACTTTTGCCAGGCAACACAACAGATCCGGAAGTGGCTGGTTAGCAAGCCATAGACAGACCAAGAGACATGCACTGTAAGTTAGCACCTTAACGTTACCTCACTGTGATTTGCTGACACCAAACTTGAAGAGAACAAGTTTACCTGATTACTGCTCCCGCAATTCACTTGCACGATTCTTTTTTCGCTTCTTCTGTGAACGAAATGATAGTTCCACTTCATCATCACATCAAAGTTGTAAACACTGACACCCGCTTTAACACGAGGGAAATTCGGGGCCCTTCCGTAATTAGCGGAGGCCTACGCAACTTACATAGTGAGCATATAGACCTGCCCGCCTCTCAGAAACATGCAGGTGTCGATAAAAGGAACTGATAAAGTAAGGGGGCATCCGGTTCCGATGGTTCCGACAATTCGGAACCGGTTCTCAACTGGATTCTCGATTCCCATCCCTATATCATCACATCAACACATATGGGCTTAATCAGGACTGAATAGTGCATACAGATAGAGTCATTTGTATTACTGTAGTGTACAATAACAGTAGATAAGGAGGACAGCAGTCAACCTCGGCTCATTTTGTTTCCATCAGCTCTAAAAAAGAATGTTACACAAGAGTTCATGCACATGTAGCTCTCTGACTCCCTAACTTTGGATTTGCTTTTCTCTACAACTACAGATTTTGTTTTTCAATACATGGTTTCATGCACAAAACCTGATGACAGGTCTTTGAGCAGAGCACTTCTCTGAGGTGTCTTCAGCAATTTCCCAAATGGGAGCAGTATAATATTATTTCCAAGCATCCAATAAGATATTGCTACTCTCATCATGTAAAGCCCTTCCACAGACAGACTGAATATTCAGCTTTGATTCAATTTGACACATTGAAACTGTGTCAGGCTTAAGGTCATGTTTAGTCTAGTTTGAAAAGATAGCGTTAACACTTCATCACTATTCAAGTCCTGGGAGTATCCCAGTCCATAAAGATACTGAGAGTGAGCCAGCACTGTGTTATTCCATCAACAAAGGTTCAAACCCCAGAGGAAGAAAACAGATCTGATGAGAGCAATTGTCTTACAGCGCTTTGATAGACAGGTATGTCTGAGGTTGGATGACAAGTAAAATGTGAGAACAAC